AGTTTTTTAGACACCTAGTTCTTTGTAGCCGCCTTCAACAATTCTGATACTTCCTTTACAGCATGACATGACTGCTCAAAAAAAGTNTAAAAAGGGTACCTCAACATTATCGTGAATTGTGCCTATGGGTTCTATCCAACGAGAAAATGCAAAATAAAAATCGATAATTTAAATTTTCTTTGATCTTCTTTATTTCAGTCGACTACTGAAGATGTTAAAACTGTAGTCAAAACAGCTATCGAAACTGGCTATCGGCTGATCGACACCGCTGCTGTTTACGAAAATGAAGCTGCCATAGGTGAAGAAATCAGGGAATTGATCAAAGAACGCAAAATTATTCGCTCCGATGTGTTCATTACCACAAAGGTAAAGTGTTCTTATTTATGATTTCGTCAGGTTGCTACTACTTCAATAGATTCCTATGTCAACCCATTACCTACCTACTTAGCAATCGAAGATATAAATTAACTATTGCAGGTATGGGTTACCCACTTATATCCAGAAGGCATTATGGAATCTGCACGTGAATCCCTTCGTCAACTACAAATGGACTACATCGACCTACTTCTTGCTCATATGCCAACCTGCTTCAATGTGAGCATCTTTCGTTCTGTACAGCTTGTAGGTCAGAACCGATGGAAATTGGTGACATTCAGAAACGATTGCCTTTTTTGATGTTCCGTTTGAGTGAGAACCTTGTTTTGAAGGGATGATTCAATTGATGGGGATGATTTCTGCGTGACTCATTAGATCAAATCTGATTTGCTTCACCGCCCTAATCACTTTTGTACCAGTTTCTTGCTCCGTTACGTGGTGAATTCATAATTAAAGGACTCAATTGTTCGATGAAGATGAAAATGGTGGAAAGCTGGCTAATGAGATTTGTGAAGAATTCATAAGAACCATTAGAAGTTAAGCAAGATAGAGTTCCAGCACTCAGTCTGGGAGGAATACGGGAGACCAGGTAGTAAGAGAACATATGCTTCCCTTTCTGTTGTCCTAGGATCTTTAGAAAAACCCAACAAAAACAATTCCAGTGGAACTGGTTACTGCATCGATGATATTTGGGCTAAACGTAACAGGACGCTGCTAGGCACAACATACTCAAAACTCATAGCCACAGGACCGCCTGATTTCATCTAGAACATAAACTTCAAGCCTTGTCAGCTGAAAGAACTCACCCCTTTATAATGTTTCTTCTCTACACCTTCTCTACGCACCGTCTGAAAATCCAGATCCTGAGAACTCGTCCGCGTAGGCGGGTTTTCCGCAAAGTGGGCGGAGTATCCTTAGCACCACCTAAGAACCTTTTGTATGCTTTCAGCCACAGTCCTTCCGGCTTGAATTAGCCATAATCCATACAGTTTTTTAGACACCTAGTTCTTTGTAGNGAGTATCCTTAGCACCACCTAAGAACCTTTTGTATGCTTTCAGCCACAGTCCTTCCGGCTTGAATTAGCCATAATCCATTCAGTTTTTTTGGACACCTAGTTCTTTGTAGCCGCCTTCAATAATTCTGAAACTTCCTTTACAGCATGACATGACTGCTCAAAAAAAGTCAGTGAAAGTAGAAGATATATGGCGTGGATTGGAAAGCGTCTATAAAAAAGGAATGGCTAGAGCTATCGGTGTATCGAATTGGAATGCCGAACAAATCGAACGTGTAATGAAAATCGCCACCGTACCGATTCACAACGTTCAGGTAAGGAGTCTATTTCAGGATATGATTTTCTTTACTGACTTCAATCGGTATTTTCAGGTAGAGCTCCATATTTACTGGCCTCAACATGAGCTGCATGAACTCTGCAAAAAGCATAACATCGCCCTCACATCGTATGCCACCATGGGATCTCCGGGTCGAGCTAAATTTATGCCCGAGTAAGCCCAGTTTATGCTCAAGTCTTGATTCATTATTAAATACGTTCTGAAGTTACCCCTGAACCTGGTCGATATCTATCGCTAGTTCTGTGAAGTAAATAGAGCCTGAAGGAATGTCATCCTAGTAAGAAGCTGAAGTATGACACACATGAGATGGATGACCTTCTCAACGTTCATAACCAATAGGTCGTGGTACGTGCTCCATCAATCCAAGGAAAAGTGACAGCAACATTGAATGAAGAGAGCAGAAAAAACAAGGCCTCAGAAAACGCTTGAACCACAATTGACCGATTCAGCAACGAACTTTATATGTTATACTACTATAAATAAATAAATATATATATATATATACTATATAAATACTATGTTCATGACAGCTTTTCCATCCTGTCCTACATTCTTCCTCCAATACCCATACTTGGGCCACAGCTCTTCAGCATCGGCACCGAATTTTTGTGGCTGTTGGATACAGAGTGGGACACCCATAGTACCGGTCATAGAAATCCAGGCATGAGACGGAAAATCTCGTCAAGAAATCATGAAGATCGCAGTAAACCGGTGATCTTATTGCTGCTTACCCAGACGTGCACTGGCCGAACAAGCCTGATCCCTGAGTTACTGAAAAAAATGCTAAGCTGTAATTTGGCGCAGTAAACCGGTGATCTTATTGCTGCTTACCCAGACGTGCACTGGCCGAACAAGCCTGATCCCTGAATTACTGAAAAAAATGCTAAGCTGTAATTTGGCGAATCGATACCTACCTGTCACCAACTGGCACCGAATTGTCCAAAGTGAAAAGGAATTCTGACGGCGTCAAAGACCACGGGAACGTTCCTTGAGGGTGGTTTTTGCATGATACGTGAGGCTTATGCAGAACTCGAAAACTCGACAGACATATTGAGACCTGACAACTCACAAGAGTCAGTGACCGACAACTCACAAGAGTCTGAGAAAGTTGCACCCTATGAGCGAGGTCAGGGTATGGTGTGGAATCCCCAAAGCCGGGTTCATGCGCGGTCTTCGCGCGGGGCGACAGATCGCTACGGGAATCCATCGAGATCAATCATGGTGCCATCAGTAACTCAATCCAAATTCGCCTCCCAAATGCTTTATGTTAGCTCCATCTCGTCCCTTTCCCCTCCCCATTATTTATTTCCTCTTCCGCTATAAGCGCGACGGAACTTTCAAGCTGCAATTACTCATTCTTCTGAGTCCTCGTGCAGGTTTCAGAAAGGTGGTGCTTAACCCTTACATATATCCAGTTCTACTCCTTTAGGACGATCTAAAGCCTCAGCCCATGCCGAGTTCGGTAAACGTGTCTTAATTGCAGCAAATTCGGCTGGAAAGGTGCTTCGAATGCCTTGGAAGATCCGAATGTGAAGAAATTGGCAGAAAAATATGACAAGAGTCCGGCCCAGGTGAGACTTTACCCACATATATCTGGAAGTCTACAATCTCTCAGTTCAGTTATTATCAGTTACTCTAGGTCGCTTCCTTTCCAGATTCTACTTCGTTACGCGATGGATAGAGGCATTGCGGTCATACCGAAATCTGTGAAGCCTTCAAGGGTGGCTGACAATTTCAAGGTTACTTGTTATCACCCGCACTTCTATAATTAGTATATTCTTCCTCAATGAATGTATCACTTGCAGTTGTTCGACTTCAAATTGTCTCCAGAAGAAATCAAGCAGCTAGAATCATCGGGTCATCGTCAGAGGCTCTTCATGAATGACTTGTAAGTTTCTTATTCTAGAACTGCTGAGGCTCAAAGGCGTCCCTGGCTCCGGGAACAACGGCGGGGCCAGTCAACAGCAAAATTAAAATTACTCCGTCTCTAGACAAATCAGGACTAAGTTGTGAGCCCCAAACCGTTCAAAAGGCCCGGTGGGAGAGCTCAGGGCTTTTGTTCCCTGACCACTCGCAGTTTCCCTGACTCTGCAAAAATGTGACATTAAGTCAGGGTGCGGCTTTTTCGTGTACAGCAGGCACCGCAGAACGAATCATGACAAAATAAGATTCTCTTCACATTTGCCTCACATCACACGCAAAAACTAAGCACCCTGATTTTACGATGAACCCTCCGTGCACTTTCCCTCCTATCAGTCATGTCAGGAATCCTGGTTGTCTTAACAGCTCTGATTTCAGTACCCTGCACGTCAATAATTCCAGCTTATTTCAGCATGAAAGGTCACCCAGAAGATCCATTCGCTAACGAAAGGAAGGAGTGAAGCAAAATCTTGGGCCGAACCGATCGAGCGTTTCATGACACGGCTTCCATTTTCAAAAAACTTTGATAGCAAATTGATATTGCAGAATTTTAATTTGCACCTTGATACTGCAGAATTTTAATTCACTTTCAGTTTTATTATACGAGTAGATATGTATATAAGACGATGGACATTTATTTGGACAGTTGAAGTTTTGAATAAGATCAAAACCAGCTGACTCGATTCAAAAGTTCTCAAACACACTTTGCACAACACAACACAACACATCCATAAATTGGTAGGCATGAATAGCAACGAATAGGAAAACGCTTTCTAATGTTTTTAGAATGCGCCACGCGGTTTACTTCCAGGTACCTAATGAAGGAGTTCATAAAGAACACTGTCGACCAGTACCAGTGTTTTGGCCTCTACCGTGTTTTTTGTGAGCCCTCCCTCATTACGGGAGGTATTCGAACTACTAAAGAATAAGACCTGCGCTCCTACAGAAAATGTCCCGGATGACTTTCAATTGACTTTTTGGTTGTAGATGGGAGGCACTAAATCGGAGCCAAGGTTATGCAGGATGACCGTAACACCGGTGAATTAGGGAATCGGAACCTATATCAGTACCCAATATTATTTCCCGCTTTCTCAAATAAATCACCGTTTCAAGCTGGCGAGTCAGTCAATTTTGCTCGCAGCATATTGAGCATCTTTCCGCTCTCAGTAAATCCCAGCTCTTATGGATAAGTCAAAAGTCGGAAGTGGATCATGAGGCAAGTACCTTTGTTGGGGCGATGACAGGTGGCGAGCCAAGGTCCGAATCTCGGATCGACATCCGCCAAGGCCAACCAAACCTTCCATCCCTCTGAGGTCGATTATATGGTACCACACTCGTCTGGTAGGACAAAAGCACTGACTTGTACATTGTCCTGGCCACTACAAGTCAATGTATAAGCCACATGCGCATTTAATAAGACACTACGATCCTGAATGGGAGTCGAATGAGGGGACGATACGCTCAGAAGGAGTTGAACGATCCCGAAGAAATTACCCCCTCATGTTTTCACTCTTATTTAATCCCGAAAGACAGCCTGCCTGTAACCAGATGGCGTCTGTTAACGATATAAAAAACTCAGATTGCAAAATTCCGGCAACTCCTCCCCTACGAGCATAGGAGAAAAAAGGTGCTACTAAACAGAAATGGAAGCTAATGGCTTTGTTAGATAGTTGCTAAAAGCCAGAGCAGTCGAAAAAGGTGCCTGTAGAGAACTAAATAAAAGTTTAGATCCCGATATCGATGAATTGACCACTGAATGAATGAGCTTTGAACATTCTTTGGAGTGGGGTCAACATGCGTTAAAAGGTATCGAGTTTCCCCTTCTCAATTACTTACCCTTCACCTAATTGGGAAATGCAAAACAGCACTGAATTGAACTATCGGTGCAATGATTGGAGATTGAACCAAACACTGAGTCCGCGCAGTTAACCTTAGCGAAATTTGAAACGTCATAGTTCGCAGTTAACCTTAGCGAAATTTGAAACGTCATAGTTTAGCGCTGGTTCTCAAAAAAAAAAAAAACAGGTCTATTCTTTACTAGTAATATGAGAGTGAAGATTATCAAAGACCAAGTTTAAACTGGTGCAAGACAAGGAAGAAGTCCTCTTAGAAGCGTTTTATGGTATCGAAAGTCACAGATCGCCACGACTATGCGAGTATGCGGGTACCAGGCCCCTCAAATACCTCTACGATTATTCTTGAAGGAGAGAAGAGAGGAAAGAAATGCGAATAAAAAAGAGTGTGGGTCCCTTAAAAATACCGCTTTCTCGCGAACAGTTTTGAAGAAAATGATTCGAGATTCTAAATCCCTGGCAATACTTATAATGGAAAACATACCAACCAAGAGGACTGATTGGTCAGTGTAGGAATCTTCCGGAAAGAAATAGATCTAGCAGTAGTGGTGGTTCTATGTACAACAATTCTTCATTTCGGGCCCTGAGGAAGTTGAGGGAGTCGGGGTTTCTATTATAGCACCTCGAC